AGGAGGAGAAGGAGGAGGCAAAGTCCAGGAGGAGAAAGGAGGAGGAGGAGGAGGAGGAGGAGAAGGAGGAGGGAGGAGGAGGAAGGGGGCCCCCCGCGGTGAAGGGCGCAAGGCGCCCAACGCCAGGGCCTGGCCGCGGCCCGCAACCTAGGCGGCGGCCAGCCGCCCCGCGGCTGCCTTTCGTAGCCAGGCGAATATCTCGATCCTCCCGACTTGCGTTCCAAGATTCCCTCGGCGCCGGCGTGGCGACGGCTTTGGCATAACTTGGAGGAGGCGGAGATGGAGGAGGAGGAGATGGAGGAGGAGGAGGAGGAGGAGGAGGAGGAAGAGGAGGAGGAGGAGGAGGAGATGGAGGAGGAGGAGGAGAATCTGATGATGACAATGAGAAGGAAAAAGAGAGAATATGGATAAGGATGGTGAGTAATGATTCATGGCGTAGAAGAACTACGGACCCAGGACCATCATCTGCAGCAGCAGCATCAGGACAGCCACTGAATCACCCATCACCCCTGCATCATGTAGACAGCCTCTGAAGCAAACCTCATTGGCCTGCCAGGTGATGGCGTGATAGCGACCGACTTTGAAGGATCTTTCCTTGGCGGACCATGAAATATCTTTGTATTGTGTCACCTGAAAGGTATCCTCGTTGGTCCATTGTGTGTCAGTTGATGTTGCGGCCTCAGGCCAGCCGAGTGACGATGCTCCTGAGGTGTGTTAGTTCATGTGTTGGCATTTGGCTCTGCCAGGGGGCGATACACATTAGGTATGCCTGGTGATGATGTATTCAAGTGTGTTCGTGAGCCTGTAGGCCTGCCAAATAACGTTGTCCTTTCGAACTGTTCACCTATGCATTGCGATGTGCTTTTTGCATTCGAACGATCGTTCTAGCGTCTGAAACTTAGGAGAAAATGGCGTCGTGGGGTCTCTGGTTCGCGCTCCACGAATTTCAACACTTGTTTGGAGAAAAACAAAAAACAAACCAGGAAAACAAAACACAATCACGATTTTCTGGCGTTTCGGTGCTCTGGATTCGTTGGGCCGCCAGTTGGGCCTGCCACGCGCAGTGGGATGGTGGGAGAATGGCCGGAGAATGGCGGGAAATGGCTGGAGTCTTGGGTGTGATGGGCCTTGTGTGGCTGGAAATCGCCGTTTTCCCGCCACATTTGGGTACGCGCGTGTCCTCGAATGGCGGGAGAATGGCCGGAGAATGGCCGGAGATGGCGGGAGATTGTTGCTCATACAGAGCGGGCCGCCAATTTTTTCGAGTGACCGCCGACGACCGCCAAGTGATCTCAAGTGACACTGGTGACTGCTGAAGATCGCCGATTCCTTCGGAAATCCCAACGATTTTCTTGAGATTGTGTTTTTCTGCTGGTCACAGCCATGCCCGCCAAGTCCGTCATCGTTCCGCTTCGTTCTGGCTCAAACGGTTTAGCATCAGGCCCTGCAGCGAGACCCACGCTACCTCGCTGGCTTCCTCCATCACAGAAGGCGCGTGATAGATGTCTGGCGGGCAAGGGCCCCCAGTCGGGCACGCTATGAGGGCAGTGAGGCCTACCTTCGATTCTGATTCGGAGGTCGACTCTCTGCACGCTCCAACCTTGAATCTCGGCGGCCTCGACCTTGACTTCACTGACTTGACTAAGGATGAGAGTGACACCTTGGAGGATCCTTCAGCCAGCAGTTTTAACCCAGCCAGCGCTTCTAGCCCAGCCGCGCAGATACTGCCGCAGCATGAGACTTCGGATGACCTCGTCACCCCCGCCGCCCGCGTCCTCAACGAGGTCCTCGACACGATGGACGTGCTCGACCAGCACCAGCAGGGCACGCCGACTCCGCCCCAGGCGTTGCCACCGGGGCAGGACAGGTCGAGGTCGAGGTCGAGGTCTCCACCGCCCAGCAGTCCGGCCTTCTGCGTCCCACACATCTTTGATACGCCTGAGAACAAGCAGAAGTACCGATCCATTGCGTTTGAGCATCACAAGTTCCCAGCCAACCCGAACTTGCAATCCAGCGATGCCATGGACGCAATATTCAAGGCCTGGCCGAAAGAAGACTGGACAGCAGCGCTGATGCGATTGGGAGTGGAGGATGTGGATGACACGACCAGCCCGCTGGAGTGCGTGCAGAACTTGTTCGACACCGCGGCGACTCCCAGGTGGGTCGAGAGCGTGACGGCCCACATGTACCAGGCGTTTCCTTACTACAAGGAAGCCAAGTGGACCTTGCCCAACATCTTGTTGTGGGAGGTCATATGCAACTTCAGCGTCAGGCTTCGAAAGTCACTTGGAACAGAATTATGATTCGGATGTGACTGATGAGAGGAGGAGGGAGGAGGAGGAGGAGGAGGAGGAGGAGGAGGAGGAGGAGGAGGAGGAAGGAAGGAAGGAAGGAAGGAAGGAAGGACGGAAGGGAGGAGGAGGAGGAGGAGGAGGGAGGAGGGAGGAGGAGGGAGGATGGAGGAGGAGGGTAATGAGGATGAGGAGGAGGTGGATGATCCTGGTGGATGGTGGAAGGTGGAGCAGTGGTGAGCTGGTGGTGGGATGGTGGAGTGGATAGTAGAGGGTGGAGGGTGGATGGTGAAGAGGCGAGGTGGAGGAGTGTGGAGAAGGGGCAGTCGCGCGCCAGCTCAGTTCGGCGCGGTGCATCCTAGGCCTGAGCAAACACCCAACCTCAGCAAAGCAATTCTGGGGGCCCATGGCCGATCGACATCCCGGGGGGCCGCTGCCAGATCCAGGAGAGAACAACGCAGGTCGGTTCCCAGGTCATCCAGGGCGCGGTTTTGAAAACGCACAGCAACGCTTTGTTTGGGGAAGATGACGATGAGGGAGGAAGGGGCGGAGCCCCAGCGCGTCGCACTTTGTAGACTCTCGGCCTGGGGGGCTCGCGACTTTTGGCGTCTGCAAGGCGCCGCGAGATCCCGGTTGAGATCCTCGGGCGCCTTGGGTCGAGGAGGAGGAAGATGAAGATGAAAAGCAAGAAGAAGATGGAGAGGAGGGTCGACTTGGTCGGGTGACAATTGCCAAACTGCCCTGCAGCCCAAAGTCTTGTGGTCCTGCGGCCCTACCTCCCGCTCCCTCCTCCTCTCTCCTCCATCCTATTCCTTCTTCTCCTCCTCCCTCCCCTTTTTCCTTCCTCCTCCTCCTCCTCCCCTCCTCCTTCCCCTTCTCCCCCTACCTGTCCCTCCCCCCATTCCCCCTCCATCGAATCCGCCCCCCTCCCTGCCTCTCAGCAAACGCTTGAATACGGTTTTATTGGGTGCCCTTGCCAGACATTGAGTAAGCTAAGGGGCCCCAGAAAGCTTATCTGCTCTTTTAGCTCGTCGGAAGCACTCTCAGGAGGGTTGCCCAGATAACTATCTCACTCTTGATGCGTTCTGGCCCTCCTGCGATTTCAGTTCAGTATACCGAGCAGACGCGTGGTAGGGTGCGTAGGGGGCGTCTGGCATCTGCGTGGGGGCGGCTCAGGATCGAAAACCTCGGCGTCGACCGAAGAGGGGACGAGAAATCCACGACCTCCCCAAGTGCATAGCAAAGACCCGAACTTTTGACCTTTCTTCGGGTCTCAAGGTAATTTCCAGTGGTCTTGAGGGGCCGTGGAGGACCCCGCGCCCCCTCGTAACCATCTCAGGGGTGTTCGTTCTCTGCTGTCATGTGTGACCTCCACAGGCAGAATCACCCCGACTTCATGCTCGATTTCGTTGAGGGCATGTGCGGTTTGGGGAACGTGTACAAGTCGGTTGCGGAGAGGGGGTACAACAGCGTGGGCCTCGACAAGAAATATGCCCCCTTCCTCAAATTGGGCACTGCTTCGGGGACCAAGACTTACTTCTCCGCTGCGCGCCGGCTGAAACAGAATGGTTTCTTTTGGCTTGGCATCGAATGCTCGACGTGGACTTGGATTGGAAGGCGCAACGGCGGCCGCACTTCAGCCGATCCTGATGGTAACACTTCCTTGGGCGAGATTCGTGAGGCGAACTTGGTTCGCGACATGTCGGCCCTCCTCATTTTGGTTGTCACTATGATCGGCGCTTTCTTTGGGATCGAGCAGCCAAGGTCCAGCCTGCTTAACCTAAGCAAGCCCATGAAGTTGATTTTCCAACAGGTCGACGCATCGATCACGAGCTTCGACCACGGCGCCTACGATGAGGATGATGCCCCAATGAAGCCCTTGAAGTTCATGTCTACGGCACCTTGGGCATCCCTGTTGAATAAGACAATCGACCCCTCCACGAAATCTAAGAGGCCAACCTTGACCACACAGGAAAGCGATGGGGGAGTCACTGGCAAAAAATCTGAGCTGAAGGAGTCTGAGCACTACTCCCTGAGATTTGGCAAGGAGGTCGCGATGCGTTTCCACGAATACGCCAAGGTTGCCCCTCTGAAGCCTTGAGTCTTACATGATCCGCACTGCCGAGGCGGCATGGCAATCGTTTCCACTCTTCACAACTTTGGGCAAGCTTCCAGCTGCTTGCCGCAGCGTTTGCTCTACTGTGCGCTTCGCGCGCTCGTGAGCCAACAGTGGCGGTTTTGAACCTTGCACGTGCTTCAAGAGCAGATTACACTGCCCTGTGCCAGCAGCCTCCCATCCTCGCCAGACACTGTCCGCGTGTCAAGCTGTGCTCTAAATGTTGTGATTGCTCGGCCTGCTTGTTTCGCGGTGTCAGACTAAAGAGTTCTTGCGTTGTACCGCACAACTTGATTGACAATCATCACTCCTGCTCCTGCGTCCTCATCTGCCCCCTCCTTCTCACAACCAACCATTCCTCCTTCCGCTTCTCCTGTTCCAATTTACACGCCGCCTGCTGCGGCTGCGGCTTCTGTTCCGTCGCGTAGCCATTTGGGCTCAAATGTCAGGAGCATAGCAAGGCCAATACTACCCAAGTTTCGCTAGCACTCGCGAAGTCCTCAGCTGGCAAGATGCCTGGCTCGAGCCCTGCTGCTGGCAGTTGCCCTCCTGGCTCGCCGCAGCAGCCGGCAGGTGGAGCTGGTTCTGTGGGAATGAAGTGCATCAAGTGCAACAACCCAGCCACCCCTGCCAACGCCGCCCCGACAGGCTCGAAGACGGTGTCTTCGGTTGAGCACTACGCGTGTCGTGGGGCTAACAGGGCCATGAAGGCCCGCATCAAGGACAACAAGCACCTCAAGACCTGGTGGGACAACCTGAAGGGAGATGACTTGACGGACTGGTACGACAGACAATACAAGAAGGCGCAGCCAGGAAGGGGGCACAGGAGGGAGTGGGACGACACGCAGTTCACTCAGTGGCAGGAGAGATCCACTGGCTCCGAGAACCGCAACCGGACCCATTGGCAGCCCTTCGACGAGTACGAGACCTTCTGGTTGATCAGGGGTAAGGACCCAAAGCAGATCGAGAAAGACTGGCTCAAAGAATGCGAGGACCCCTCCAAAGGCGCCAAGAAGGAGAACGGCGAGTGGCTGCTCCCAAAATTCATTGGCGTGATCGAGGACGCAGTGAACACGAACATGACCCACTCCAGCGTGTCCCGCACCGTGAAGGCGACTGACGTCGAGATGGCGAGGGAGGTTCAAGAGGAGATGGATGCGGAGCACGATGCGGTGAACAGGAGGGTTCTGCTAACCATGGCCTCCAGGGTCGGCACAGGGGCTTCTACTGATCGTGCTATGTCAATGCAACCGGAAGAGCACAACGTGCAGACTCCTGCTGCGATGTCGATGGCGCCCTCACTACCCAACGAGATCTTGCGGGACATGAAGCGCAAGCTGGCGGCGGAGCAGGAACTGGACGAGGAGCTGGCTGCGATTGTCCAACAGGAAGCGGACAGGACGGCCCAGGAGAAGAGGGAAGGGGGTGGCAAGCGGCAGAAGAGCCTCGACGTGGTGAAGTTGAACGCCCTCCAGACCTCCAGCTCCTACGCGACCAAACTGAAGGGCGACGGCGACACCATGGGCAGCAAGAAAGATGATCTCGTCAAGGGTCTGGACACTGTGATGCAAGCGCTACTGGCAGGGAGCGACGCCTCCGACGGTGAAGGAGGAGCCGCCGCCACATCAGACTTGAAGGGTCGCTCGGACCTTCTCAAAACGAACTTGGACGCTGTCGTCTTGGCGTACAAGACCAATGTCCAGGATTTCATCGAGAAGAAGCTGCCCAGGTCCAACATCACAAACTGCACTGACTTTGAGCAGTTGGACGGTGTCCTGAGCACGATGAAGGCCGACGTCGCGAACTGGAAGAAGAATGAGCAGTCGATTCAGAACTTCAAAGATGCGCACGGCCAGGGGATGAAGCTCATCAAGGAAGCGCAGAAGGCGCTGGGCAAGGCTACGCACAATGTCGGTGCTCCTGGACTTGGCGGCGACGGCGACGCGATCAAGTCCCCTGGCATCAAGAATTTGATCATCATGCAGCAGACAATGGCAGCGCACTTTGACCATGGCGCGATGGACCTCTCGGAGATTGGCACGTTCTGGGAAGATCAGAAGGTCTTTCACTTCACGAGCCGAGCGGAGTGCGACCTGCGTGAGAAAGCCAAGTCCCTGGCGGCCGACGACTACTTCGGCAAGTCTGCGAAATGGCTGACGAAGCACATGAAGGAGAACGAACTGCTGGGTGCCAAGGCAGCCATCATGAAGGTAGTCTACGAGCGCTCGGTCAACTCGATCATGTCGGAGTGCTTCCCTGCCGCGGTGTTGGAGAAGGTAAACCTTGTTGGGACCGAGCAGGCTAGTTACCGTTAGCGCTGCTGCTGCTAGCAACTCCTCCTCCTCCTCCTCCTCCTCCTCCTCCTCCTCCTCCTCCTCCTCCTCTTTCTTCTTCTCTTCCTCCTCCTCCTCTTTCTTTTCCTCCCTGTTCCTCTCTCCTCTCTCCTCCTCCTCCTCGTCCTCCTCCTCCTCCTCCATCTCTGCCTCCTTCACTCTCTTACTCTGACCTCGAGCCTCTGGCTCCTGACTCCTGACTCCCCTCAGCACTCCACGTCCTCACCCCTCATCGTCCTCTCCCTACAGATTTGAAAACGTCTGGCCCGAAACCCAAGATCCAAGGCCCCCCGACACCCCTCCTCTTCCTCGTCTGCACTCTCCGCCTCGCCCCCCCCACACCTGCCCAATTTGGCAGCAGCAACGCTGGCGATGACCCTAGCAATGGGGCCGCGAGATCTTCGAGACCCAGCTCTTCCGGTACCTGTGCGGCTGGAACATCTGCACCCCTGGAGCCTTTGGCTGCGGTGAGCTCATGTGGGTTTTCGCTGGCGAGGCCGTGGTTGCAGGCGTTCCAGAATCACAATGTCCAGGCTCCACCCTCAAGGACAAGGTGAACTTTCTTCAGGCCGCAACTAAAGAGGACTGGAACCTTGTCACGTCTAGGCCAGGCGGCTTCCGGGTCAAGCTGCAGGCGCCAAACGCGATTGCTTTCCCTCCTGGTGTGATCGTTACCGTCGCGGTGCTGTCTACCACGTTCGAGGGCGCGCGCCGTGGCATCTTGAATCAAGTTGCCGCTCACAGTGCTTTCGCCATGCTCGATCAGATGCGCACGACCTTCGATGGGGCTGATGATGAGGCTCACAAATCGTGGGCTAGGTACTTGAAGGCGGGACTGTAGTGAGACTCTGGAAGTTGGTAGGTGTGTATCTCTTCTCTGTTCTATCTTTCCTCATTCAACAAGTTCTCCATTCCATTCTCATTCAACAACTCCTCCAATCTCGCGTATTTGAAGTTTTCGATTTTGCAGGCCAGTTGCGAAATGCACCATCAGTCGGGCCAGCGGCCCCGGGGCCCCGATGCCAATCGACATATGTCTTAGGCTTCTCTTGCTGTGCTTACGTGGTTGTTCACGGGGTTCGGGCAATCATCTCGAATGCCACGCCCATTGTCTGATTCAGTGCATTGCGGGGTAATGTGTGCAGGGGTGTCGGTGGCACATTCGGTTCAGAAGCAAGTTATTCTTCTCTGCTGCCTCTGTGCGCTCGGAGGCCCAGCAGGATAGTGAGTAGTCAAATGTAACGAATGTGTTGGCGGCTGCCGGCTCTTTGTGTGCGAGGCATCTGCATCACATCAACATCAATAGAGCAACATGTGACCCCATCTCCCATGCCATCCGATGCCCCCGCTCACCCGACCTCTAATTCAAACGTCCTTCATGCTTGCCCTACTATCTTCCGTTTCGACGAGACAATGTATTCAAATACCTCTGTCAAACAAAGCGCTCACCAATCAAACTAGCAGCGAAAATAAGTGTACAGCACGTGATGCGGTTGAAGAACACACGTCACTGATCCTGCTCTTGCCCCTCATCCCCACACGATTTAGGCTCGAACGTTTGTCAGGGGCGCTAGTCGAGTGGCGAGATCCTGGGGCCAAGAATCGCCCTATTCACCGATGGTCCTGGATCCCGTGGTGATCTCAGATGCTGATGACGACGACGTCTCAGATTGGATCACCGCCGATAGCAATTTCATCATCAACTGGACGAAGATCACGAAGCATCTATGTCGTGTGGCCCGACTCAGGCCTCGTGTCTTTTGCTGCTTGCTGTTGCCGCTCCTCCTCCCCTCCTCCTTCTTCCTCCGCCTCTCCTCTGAAGTCTCCTCTCCTCCTCCCCCTCCTCCCTCCTCCCCCATCCTTCTTCCTAGGCGGCTGTTTGGGACCTTGGGCGGATTCCTCAAGATGATAAAGACGAGGGGCCTCCAGTGAGCGACGAGGGCCGCAGCGGTCACGGGCCGCGGCACGGTAGAGGGAAGGGTTGGGGGATGATTACAAAATCAAGAGAGGACGTTCGGAGAAGGAAGACTCCCGCGTGCTAGCCGTGCCAAAGACATGGCGCATGGCGGTCCCTGAGGACGCTCCTTTTTCTTGAATCGAGCGTAGGGGGAGAAGAGAGGCATTGCTTCCGCGTCTTGGCTTTGAACAGTCCGTTTCATGAACAAAAAAGCGCTAGCACGAACATGCCAAAAACAACGCCAGTTTGAATGTTCATTGTGTGGCGTCGGGCCATGTCAATCACATGTGGGCACGTTCGAAAGGCGCCAGTTGCTCATAGGTCCAGGTCTCACATGCTCCTAGTGTGTACTCCTTTAGCACTTCGCACGATGTGTCTTGTCGACGGGACTTTCGTCGCTCTCTCACGGAACCAAGCTCATGACGTTGAAACGCACATGGCGCCCGAATTGTCGCTCCCAATGGTGTTTTCTGTGTTGTTTACAAAAAGCGCTATGCCACAGATGGCCCAACATTGTCATGTAGCATACGTTTTTAAAGAGCACTAGCGCGTTCCGGGCTAAGGGGGGTTGTTTTTTTGTAGCCCAAGCGAACCCGTTCATAGCCATATCCAGTATGTTCAGCTTTTGGGGGTCTTGCCAAACTGGTTCCAGAGGCGCTCTTGTGCCGAATCTAAACTTCGTCGGCTGAATCTGGCTGCCCAGAGGGTCCCTGGGACCGAAACCAAAGGCCCGACAGGGCTGTTTGCCATGACCCCCCCCGAAGCTGAACATACCAAGGCGGAGGAGGAGGAGGCGGAGGAGGAGGAGGAGACGAAAGAGGCGGAGGAGGCGGAAGAGGCGGAGGAGGAGGAGGCGGCGGAGGAGGAGGAGGCGGAGGAGGTGGAGGAGGAGGAGGCGGAGGAGGCGGACGAGGAGGAGGAGGAGTTCGGCGGCACCCCAACATACAGTCGGCGCGCATCGGCTGGTCGACCCTGCAAAATCAGGGGTACTCTTGTGTCCTGTCCCTCCCTTCTCATTCGGGTATGGCCAGCATCCCAGGTAAGTGGAACCCGGTTAGTAGTAGGGCCTCGGAGCCCGTAAACTGGCCAGAATTACTAAACCAGGTATGCCGAAGCTGGTGTTTTTCGGGTGACGGCAGTTCAGGTGAGTGGAACGGGCGGTGGGTGATGGGCCTGTTTTCCACCACCACCACCACCACCACCACCACAAGTTGCAGGGGGAAGGAGGTGGAGGACGAGGAGGACGAACAGGAGGAGGAGGAGGAGGAGGACCGCCTCCCCCCTCCAGCTTATGGTGGTGGTGGTGGAAAACAGGCCCATCAAGGAGGGCGTCCCCAAGTGCACATCACAAAACCAGGTCCCACTAAACCCAGTTCTGCTAACGCCCGAAGTGGGGGTCAAGGATCTGGAGAGGTAGAATAAGTTCGGCGGCACCCCAACATACAGTCGGCGCGCATTGGCTCGTCGACCCTGCAAAGTCAAGGTTACTCTGGTGTCCTGTCCCTCCCTTCTCATGTCCCCTGCGTGTTCGGACTAAGGGTGCCCTTGTGTCCTGTGGCTGTTGGAGGACATGGTGCCGTCGGAAGAGCCTCGCGTCCTGTTGCGTGTCCTCTCGTGTGCGCTCCGACTGTATTAATACTATGTGTGCGCCTTCCCCCCAGGGCCGACGCGCGCGCCGAGAAATCTTGTGGTATATGCGTCGTGGCGGGCGCTTTCTGGCCGTGCCGCTTGGGAAACGATATACTACAAGATTGTTATACTATGTGTTCGGGTCGGATGCACGCCTCCGAGGAGGTCACACTGTACTAGTATGTCCTTGTGCGTCCCAGAAGTGGGTACGGAAAAAGTGAAGACAAAGACAGACAGCAGATCCTGTCCATGTTGAACAGGACGCTCTGTCGGCGTCACTGCGGGCGTTGCTCATCTGAGACAGGAAGTTCTCTGCCCAGCAGAGGCCGCTGCTGGCTTTGGAAAGCATATGATGCTGGGCATCGTCCCCACTTCTTGTCAGTATGTACCCACGTCGGCCGTGCCACGAGGAGGTTGCTTTGTTCTCGACACGGGCAAGTCTACTTGCATGGCTTTTGTCCCCACGCCCCTCGCTGCCGCCTTTTCAGGCAGCGCCAGGCCGAACGTGCGTGCAAGCGGCGGCCTGCGCGAGGTCCAGCTTTTGCTTCAGGCCTCGCCACGCCCCCCCTCCATTCCATGCAAGTGAACCTGCTAGGTTCGAAAGAAAACTGGCTCAAGGATGGGGGAGGAGGATCGAGGTTCCAGAATCGAGATTAGAGGTTGCTTGGCATCCTCCGCCGGGCGAAGCAAATACAGCATGCGTGGTTGTTCCCAGCCACCGGGGATGCCTGTCCCAGGGCGGCTGGGGAGTGTATACCCCTCCAGTGTCAGGTCGAGGCATACAATGTCCAGCCGCCTTGAGACAGGCCTCCCCGATCACAGAAAAGGTCATGCTACCTATACGACCACCCTTCGGGTGATAAGGAGGTTCGGGGGGGGAGGAACCAACGTCTCACTCGATCGGTCTCACGATCGATCTCAGGATCGACCTTCCGTGGGGCGAAGAAAATACAGCATGTGTGTTCGTTCCCAGCCATCGGGGATGCCTGTCCCAGGGCGGCTGGGAGGTGTATGCCCCTCCAGTGTCAGGTCGAGGTATACATTGTCCAGCCGCCTTGAGACGGGCCTCTTGGCATCGCTCGGACGTGTGCATTTCTCCGTCGGCGAGGACCATCGAGGAGCACCCTTGATCATTCGGCGAAACATCCACACACGAAACTGAAAAAAAACACAGGGGATGGACGGCCGAGCGGTGGCGAGGCCTCCCCGATCACAGAAAAGGTCCTGTTCTATATAGCTCCTCGCCCGCCAAGCGCTGGCCCTTGGTGGAGGGGGCTCTCGTTGCCGCGGTCGGCGCTCGAGGGCCTCCCCCTCCTCCTCCTCCTCCTCCTCCTCCTCCTCCTCCTCCTCCTCCTCCTCCTCCTCCTCCTCCTCCTCCTCCTCCTCCTCCTCCTATTCGCGCGTCTCTCGCGGCGCCGGGAGGCTGCATCGTGGCCCCGACGCCACCACGAAACCGACTCCGGGTGAGCAGCCGGCCCAGGGAGAGAGGGCCAGGATCGAGGCTCAAGAGAGGCGGGGGTCTTGCAGAGCCAGGGGTGCATTGATCCGGGCTTGCGTGCAGGATCCTGGAGGATCCTGCAGAGCTTCACCGACCCTGGTTTGCATGAGGTTGGGCCTCTTGGGGGGGGCTTCTCACCACGGTTGGGCTCCCTTTTGATATCTCTGAGCGGAACAAGCCCAGGAGAGGTTTCGGGGCCATTTCTTGAGGGCGGGCCCTCAGGTGAGGGCGTCGCCACAAAATCGCGAGGACAGTTTGGTTCAACGATCTCGTTCCCTGGGGACCGTTTCCGAGCAGCAGGACCATCAACAACGGTTCGGAACGAAAAGCAATTCCCAGGGAACGAGTCAGAGTTCAATGCAATAAAAGTCAGGAGGAGTTCGTCTGCCAGGCAAACATTGCTTGCACTAAGGGGGTTCGCACTTGCTTGCATAAGCGATCGATCGGCCCTGACGGGGCTGGGACGAGGATCAGTTCGCTCCAGAGCGTTCCAGAAAGCTTCCAGAGCTTTCCAGAAGGCTTTGAGAAGGCCGCCGCCACGATCGACGGAGAAAAGGTGCCCCACAATGTCTTGCACCTCCTCCTCCTCCTCCCCCTCCTCCTCCTCCTCCTCCTGCTCCTCCTCCTCCCCCTCCTCCCCCTCGCTCGCTCGCTATCTAAGGGCCTAAGAGGTTCGAAGCCCATGCTTAAAAGAAACGGGAGAGAAGGCGAAGACAGTACCCCCTACATGCACATGCTGAGGAAGGGGAGGGGGTGACGGGGGGACTCAAGTGTCACTGTCCACAGGCCTGGCGAGGGTGGCCTGCACAAGGAACGCCGCGGCGAGTCCGACCGCCGACGCAGGGAACTGACTCGCATCTCTGGGGGGGGTCGGATGGCCCCGGTGATGATGGCAACGCCCCCCACAGAGGCCAGGCACAAACGCGTCCAAGGACGGGATGCAAGTGCGGGGCCCCAAACGAACACATATCCACATTAACCGAGATCATTCCCTCAAACAACACAAGCTCTTTCAATTCGGTCACGTCGCTACAACTCGACGGTAGCATCATAATGAAGGGAAGTCCGTGCTGCACACACTGCAAGCATAAAAGAAGGGCGGCCTGAAGCACCTTGTTGTCCTGTCCCACCTCCTTCCCTTCCCTTTCGTTCACTTGGCCAGATCCCCAGGGCCTTGCCTGGGTGCGCACTGGATGGCGCGTGGTGCGCCAGGTCGGTAGGTGAGGCGCCAGCAGCAATCCTGCGACCTCACCCGCAGCACTCCTTCCCTCCCATTGTTCAACCTCGTGTTCGGAGGGCCAGGGAGAGACGAGGGGGGAGGGAGCAGAGGTAGTCCCCTGGCAGGGATTCTCAAAAGCCAACCCGATGCGCCCTTCACCCTCTAACATCCCAAACAGGCCCACCATGTGGGCGCGTGGTCCAGGGTTCACTCTGGTAACCTGTTGGGCCAGCGTGTTCTCTTCTTGCTCGAAGGAGGCTCTAGGAATGTCGATCCTCTCAGGCGGGGCCTCCACCACCCGCTAGCGAAAGGGGGGTCCGCAGACTTTCTGAGCAGGGATGAGGGCGTGCGTGTCAGATTTGCCCCCTTTCCTGTTCGCCCGCGCCTCAATCCTGCGCAATTCGATAGCCTCCTCACGCTCAGCTTCATTAGGACGAAGGGGGGAGTTCACCCAAGCACGAAAGCAAGCGGCAGATCTTTGAAGGTGTTTGATCAAACGCACACCCTGCCAGAACTCCCAACAGCACACAGGGCACATCGATCCCGTGGCCACGTTCTCAGGTGCCTCGGCGGTCTCATGCTTCTTGGAGCGATGGAATGCGAAAGAGCCTCAACGTCTTGGCAAGTGACCGCACTCGTAGCAAAGGGAACCTTGATCGCCACCAGGGTCAGGCGGTGGCGGCGGAGCCTCACTAAGCGGTAGTTGGCTGTCCCCAATGTGGGGTGGGAGCTTACTGGACCTGGGGGGAATCTCATCCTCGCCCAGGTCATCTGGCCCCCCTTGCGAGCCATCACTGGCAAGCTGGGTCATGAAGGCATATCTGCTCAAATCTGCATTGTCATTCTGCGTGCGCTGGAAGATGGCCCGCAATCTGGGGCACGCCATCTTTTTGTATGTCTCCTGTCGCCATTGCCGTACTTGTAGAGTGATAGCCCAAAACCTTTTCGCGCTGGTGGCAGCCTGCTTCACAATGGCCAGGTATTCTCGTCTGTGAGATCTCGCCAGCCGAATCCACGAATGATCATCATAACCATATTCACGAGCGTCGACCTGAAGATATCGTCGGATCCATCCCAAATCCTGTCCTACCAATTTTGCCTAGCCTCGATCCCACGTGTAGTCAAGTAATAGTCCTACAAGTGGCGGAGCTCAACTGAGTATCCGTGGTAGTAGTCGCAGCCAGGCCATTGTCATAACCACATGTAAAGGTAACCTCTGCACCTTCACCTATATGTCGGCTGTCGATGCATGCACCTCGCTGCAGTCGGCGGTCCCAAGGTTCGATGGAGTCCTGTACATTGACATGTAGCCCGTGAGGGCTCTCATATGCAGGTAGCGTGGTAGCGGGTCCCACGTGCCTGCTGCGAACAAAAATTCTGACCCCGCGTATGCCTCGCTGTAGCGTACGTTGCGTGTCAAATCTAGCTGCGTACATGATGCAACCACTTTTTTGATTGGCCTCAAGGCCGATCTCGAGCTTCGTATTCGCTCAGTAATCTCATCGCGCATAGTGCCTCTGTCATTGAAGCGCGCCCCTAGCACCTTGTGTACTCTCACGATGGGTACTTTGAAGTCGCGTAGGTCACTGACGAGGTAGTTCTGCTGCTTGGTGTAATACTGCCTGGCCTGGGTCCTTGTTTCAGCTCCACGAAAGCTCAGCATGACCGCGGTCTTGTCGAAATTCAGTCGGAAACCATGATTGGTGCAGTGTATAAATATAATTTCAGTCAATCTCATCGTCTTGAAAGCCAGCTCCGAGGCCGGCGTCGCCACAAGGGCAGTGAGGTCATCTACGACAGAAGTGCTGGAGTGAAATTGCTCCTGATCATCTTCAGAGCCAAAATGGGCCACGGAGGGGGGCGGTGTCCATGCTAGATTCTCCTGGGCAGCTTGCATTTCGATACGTTCCTGTATTCTCGCAAAGAATACGTTGAAGACATCCGCGGCAGGAATCGCACCAGGGCTGCGACCTCTCCCAGGGCACTCAAAGCCTTGGGCGCCCCGCACACGCCAGAAACTGCCCACTTGGCTTTCGCGCGCCAGCTCCAACAGGTGGGGCGGCATATCCGCGCTATCCAGGCCCCCCCCCCCCCCCCCCGCCTCAAGCTCAGCCTCGAGCCCAGCGCGGACGAAGGGTCCCATCTCCGCATGCATGAGCGCATCTTCGAACCTTCCCGACTCGCGCTGCAGCGTAAGGCACAGTTGTTTGAAGGCAGAATAAAAGGCCGCGTGCAAGTCAACAAAGACCCCCCCAGCAGAACGTCCACGCTCCTTGGTAGCGCCCCAGAAAGAGCGGATCATGAGGAGGGCCCCCATCAAGCCTCAAGCCCCCTCCCAGGAAGTCCTCCGCACTGAACCTGCAAAAGCGCACGCTCCACAAAACGAAGAGAGGCCGGTCGCAACAATGCGTGGTGAAGTTTTCCTATGGCGATGCCTAACAGAACGTTGCGCTGATTTGGCATGAGGTTGGTGGCCCCTTTACCCCTGTGGGAGAAAACGATCATTCCACTCTTGAATCCTAGGGGTTCTGTGCAGCACGCATGTCTTCAGACGCAACGGATACAGAGGGCGCGCAACCGACTCGTTAGCACGCTTTCCTAATTCGGCCACAATGCCATCCATGCCTGCGGCCTTGTTCGCAGGGCATTTGCGGAGTGCCTGCTCCGCGCTTACAAGTGCGGGGAGAAACTCAAGCACTGGGTCTGGCCTGGGGGTGGGATGCTGGCTGACTTTATTGCATGCCTCCAGTGACGCATGAGAATCGACGCTCTTGGCAGCCTCGATGTTAGCACATTTTTTTCTGAGCAATCTGTGCAATCTCCTCTTGAGTCG